CAAGTTTGGTGTTTATGGCGTCGATATTCAACGTCAAAAACACCATCAAGTTTGGTGTTTATGACGTCGATATACGACTTCATAATCAGCATCAAGTTTGGTGTTTATGGCGTCGATATACGACGTCATAAACACCATCAAGTTTGGTGTTTATGACGTCGATATACGACGTCATAAACAGCATCAAGTTTGGTGCTTATGGCGTCGATATACGACGTCATAAACAGCATCAAGTTTGGTGTTTATGGCGTCGATATTCGACGTCATAAACGCCATCAAGTTTGGTGTTTATGACGTTGATATTCAACGTCATAAGCACCATCGAATTTGGTGTTTATGACGTCGATATACGACGTCATAAACAACAACAAGTTTGCATAAATAAATAAAGAAGGCGGACGGTCACGATTTGTTGAACTCGCGAAAATATAAAGAAATGTCGTTCGAAAGCATTGATATTAATTCGATCAAATTGTTAAAGGATCAAGCCGACTTAGTTTATGATGGGAAACGAGTTATATGGTCTCAAGGCTTTCGTTCGTTGCAGAATTTTGTTGAAAATGTGATCGGGCTGTCTGGTCAAGCGGAGGAAAATCTAAACAGTTCACCAACTGAAATTCAAATTTTATTATGACCTGGTATCCTGGCAAACTAAATTCGCTTACATTTAACGGAAGGGATGGCGAATCTTTTAAGACATGGTTGTTGAGTGTTTTGATCTCAAAATGTGTTAAGCGAACTGATACTGACGAAGGCTGTTTATCTTACGCGTTGGCTGAAACATCGGTCAAACCCAAAGAACAATTGGTTAGTGTTTGTCAAATAGTACAAGAACTGACCAAGCTTCAGTCTAGTAAAGTATCTACTGGTGGTTATAGTGATAAAGCTCTAGATCAGGTACTAACGGTGGATTGCTCAATCGATATTCGGAGTCATAAACACCGCCAAGTTTGGTGTTTATGACGTCGATATTCGACGTCATAACAGTATCAAGTTTGGTGTTTATGACGTCGATATTCGACGTCATAAACGCCATCAAGTTTGGTGTTTATGACGTCGATATACGAAGTAATAAACACCATCAAGTTTGGTGTTTATGACGTCGATATACGACGTCATAAACACCATCAAGTTTGGTGTTTATGACGTCGATATTCGACGTCATAAACACTATCAAGTTTGGTGTTTATGACGTCGATAGTCGACGTCATAAACAGTATCAAGTTTGGTGTTTATGACGTCGATATACGACGTCATGAACACCATCAAGTTTGGTGTTTATGGCGTCGATATACGACGTCATAAACACGATCCAGTTTAGTTTTTATGGCGTCAATATACGACGTCATAAACACCATCAAGTTTGGTGTTTATGACGTCGATATACGACGTCATAAACACCATCAAGTTTGGTGTTTATGACATTGATATTCGACGTCATAACCAGCAGCAAGTTTGGTGTTTATTACGTCGATATTCGACGTCATAAACACCATCAAGTTTGGTGTATAGGACGTCGATATTCGACGTCATCAACACCATCAAGTATCGTGTTTATGACGTCGATATTCGACGTGATAAACACCATCAAGTTTGGTGTTTATGTCGTTGATATACGACGTCACAAACACCATCAAGTTTCGTGTTTATGACGTCGATATTCGACGTCATAACCACCAGCAAGTTTGGTGTTTATGATGTCGATATTCGACGTCATAAACACCTGCAAGTTTGGTGTTTATGACGTCGATATTCAACGTCATAAACACCATCAAGTTTGGTGTTTATGACGTCGATATACGACGTCATAACCAGCATCAAGTTTAGTGTTTATGGCGTCGATATTCGACGTCATAAACAAAATCAAGTTTGGTGTTTATGACGTCGATATTCGACGTCATAAACACCGTCAAGTTTGGTGTTTATGGCGTCGATATACGACGTCATAAACACCATCAAGTTTGTTGTTTATGGCGTCGATATACGACGTCATAAACACCATCAAGTTTGCTGTTTATGACGACTATATACGAAGTCATAAACACCATCAAGTTTGGTGTTTATTACGTGGATATACGACGTCATAAACAAAACCAAGTTTGGTGTTTATGAAGTCGATATTCGACGTCATAAACACCATCAAGTATGGTGTTAATGGCGTCGATATGCGACGTAATAAACACCATCAAGTTTGTTGTTTATGACGACTATATACGAAGTCATAAACACCATCAAGTTTGGTGTTTATTACGTCGATATACGACGTCATAAACACCATCAAGTTTGGTGTTTATTACGTCGATATACGACGTCATAAACACCATCAAGTTTGGTGTTTATGGCGTCGATATTCGACGTCATAAACTGCATCAAGTTAAGTGTTTATGGTAGTCGATATTCAACGTCATAAACACCGTCAAATTTGTTGTTTATGACGTCGATATACGACGTCATAAACACCATCAAGCTTGGTGCTTATGGCGTCGATATACGACGTCATAAACAGCATCAAGTTTGGTGTTTATCACGTCGATATTCGCGTCATAAACACTATCAAGTTTGGTTTTTATGGCGTCGATATACGACCTCATAAACACCATCAAGTTTGGTGTTTATGACGTCGATATTCGACGTCATAAACACCATCTAGTTTGGTGTATATGACCTCGATATTCGACGTCATAAACAGCATCAAGTTCGGTGTTTATGTCGCCGACATACGACGTCATAAACACCGTCAAGTTTGGTGTTTATGACGTCGATAGTCGACGTCATAAACAGTATCAAGTTTGGTGTTTAGGACGTCGATATTCGACGTCATAAACACCATCAAGTTTGGTGTTGATGACGTCGATATACGACGTCATGAACACCATCAAGTTTGGTGTTTATGGCGTCGATATACGACGTCATAAACACGATCAAGTTTGGTTTTTATGGCGTCGATATACCACCTCATAAACACCATCAAGTTTGGTGTTTATACCGTCGATATATGAAGTCATAAACACCTTCAAGTTTGGTGTTTATGACGTCGATATTCGACGTCACAAAACCATCAAGTTTGGTGTTTATGACGTCGATATACGAAGTCATAAACACCATCAAGTTTGGTATTTATGACGTCGATATTCGACGTCATAAACAGTATCAAGTTTGGTGTTTATGACGTCGATCTACGACGTCATAAACACCATTAAGTTTGGTGTTTATGACGTCGACATACGACGTCATAAACACCGTCAAGTTTGTTGTTTATGGCGTCGATATACGACGTCATAAACACCATCAAGTTTGGTGTTTATGACGTCGATATACGAAGTCATAAACACCATCAAGTTTGGTGTTTATTACGTCGATATACGACGTCATAAACAAAACCAAGTTTGGTGTTTATGAAGTCGATATTCGACGTTATAAACACCATCAAGTATGGTGTTAATGGCGTCGATATGCGACGTAATAAACACCATCAAGTTTGTTGTTTATGACGACTATATACGAAGTCATAAACACCATCAAGTTTGGTGTTTATTACGTCGATATACGACGTCATAAAGACCATCAAGTTTGGTGTTTATGGCGTCGATATTCGACGTCATAAACTGCATCAAGTTAAGTGTTTATGGTAGTCGATATACGACGTCATAAACACCATCAAGTTTGGTGTTTATTACGTCGATATACGACGTCATAAACACCATCAAGTTTGGTGTTTATTGCGTCGATATTCGACGTCATAAACTGCATCAAGTTAAGTGTTTATGGTAGTCGATATTCAACGTCATAAACACCGTCAAATTTGTTGTTTATGACGTCGATATACGACGTCATAAACACCATCAAGCTTGGTGCTTATGGCGTCTATATACGACGTCATAAACAGCATCAAGTTTGGTGTTTATCACGTCGATATTCGCGTCATAAACACTATCAAGTTTGGTTTTTATGGCGTCGATATACGACCTCATGAACACCATCAAGTTTGGTGTTTATGACGTCGATATTCGACGTCATAAAGACCATCTAGTTTGGTGTATATGACGTCGATATTCGACGTCATAAACAGCATCAAGTTCGGTGTTTATGTCGTCGACATACGACGTCATAAACACCGTCAAGTTTGGTGTTTATGACGTCGATAGTCGACGTCATAAACAGTATCAAGTTTGGTGTTTAGGACGTCGATATTCGACGTCATAAACACCATCAAGTTTGGTGTTGATGACGTCGATATACGACGTCATGAACACCATCAAGTTTGGTGTTTATGGCGTCGATATACGACGTCATAAACACGATCAAGTTTGGTTTTTATGGCGTCGATATACCACCTCATAAACACCATCAAGTTTGGTGTTTATACCGTCGATATATGAAGTCATAAACACCTTCAAGTTTGGTGTTTATGACGTCGATATTCGACTTCACAAAACCATCAAGTTTGGTGTTTATGACGTCGATATACGAAGTCATAAACACCATCAAGTTTGGTATTTATGACGTCGATATACGACGTCATAAACACCATCAAGTTTGGTATTGATGACCTTTATATACGACGTCATAAACACCATCAAGTTTGGTGTTTATGACGTCGATATTCAACGTCATAAACACCATCAAGTTTGGTGTTTATGACGTCGATATACGACGTCATAACCAGCATCAAGTTTAGTGTTTATGGCGTCGATATTCGGCGTCATAAACACAGTCAAGTTTGCTGTTTATGGCGTCGAAATGCGACGTCATAAACACCGTCAAGTTTGTTGTTTATGGCGTCGATATACGACGTCATAAACAACATCAAGTTTGGTGTTTATGACGTCGATATACGACGTCATAAACAACACCAAGTTTGGTGTTGATGACGTCGATGTTGGACGTCATAAACACCATCAAGTTTTATGTTTATGGCGTCGATCTGCGGCGTCATAAACACCATCAAGTTAGGTGTTTATGGCGTCGATATACGACGTCATAAACACCATCAAGTTTGGTGTTTATGACGTCGATATTCGACGTCATAAACACCATCAAATTTGGTGTTGATGACGTCGATATACGACGTCTTAAACACCATCAAGTTTGATGTTTATGGCGTCGATATTCGACGTCATCAACATCATCAAGTTTGGTGTTTATGACGTCGATATTCAACGTCATAAACACCATCAAGTTCGGTGTTTATGACGTCGATATACGACGTCATAAACAACACCAAGTTTGGTGTTGATGACGTCGTTGTTGGACGTCTTAAACACCATCAAGTTTGATGTTTATGGCGTCGATATTCAGCGTCATAAACACCATCAAGTTTGGTGTTTATGGCGTCGATATTGCACGTCATAAACACCATTAAGTTAGGTGTTTATGGCGTCGACATACGACGTCATAAACACCATCAAGTTTGGTGTTTATGACGTCGATATCCGACGTCATAAACACCATCAAATTTGGTGTTGATGACGTCGATATACGACGTCTTAAACACCATCAAGTTTGATGTTTATGGCGTCGATATTCGACGTCATCAACATCATCAAGTTTGGTGTTTATGACGTCGATATTGAACGTCATAAACACCATCAAGTTTGGTGTTTATGACGTCGATATACGAAGTCATAAACACCATCAAGTTTGGTGTTTATGGCGTCGATATTCGACGTTATCAACACCATCAAGTTTGGTGTTTATGGCGTCGATATTCAACGTCAAAAACACCATCAAGTTTGGTGTTTATGACGTCGATATACGACTTCATAATCAGCATCAAGGTTGGTGTTTATGGCGTCGATATACGACGTCATAAACACCATCAAGTTTGGTGTTTATGACGTCGATATACGACGTCATAAACAGCATCAAGTTTGGTGCTTATGGCGTCGATATACGACGTCATAAACAGCATCAAGTTTGGTGTTTATGGCGTCGATATTCGACGTCATAAACGCCATCAAGTTTGGTGTTTATGACGTTGATATTCAACGTCATAAGCACCATCGAATTTGGTGTTTATGACGTCGATATACGACGTCATAAACAACAAAAAGTTTGCATAAATAAATAAAGAAGGCGGACGGTCACGATTTGTTGAACTCGCGAAAATATAAAGAAATGTCGTTCGAAAGCATTGATATTAATTCGATCAAATTGTTAAAGGATCAAGCCGACTTAGTTTATGATGGGAAACGAGTTATATGGTCTCAAGGCTTTCGTTCGTTGCAGAATTTTGTTGAAAATGTGATCGGGCTGTCTGGTCAAGCGGAGGTAAATCTAAACAGTTCACCAACTGAAATTCAAATTTTATTATGACCTGGTATCCTGGCAAACTAAATTCGCTTACATTTAACGGAAGGGATGGCGAATCTTTTAAGACATGGTTGTTGAGTGTTTTGATCTCAAAATGTGTTAAGCGAACTGATACTGACGAAGGCTGTTTATCTTACGCGTTGGCTGAAACATCGGTCAAACCCAAAGAACAATTGGTTAGTGTTTGTCAAATAGTACAAGAACTGACCAAGCTTCAGTCTAGTAAAGTATCTACTGGTGGTTATAGTGATAAAGCTCTAGATTAGGTACTAACGGCGGATTGCTCAATCGATATTCGGAGTCATAAACACCGCCAAGTTTGGTGTTTATGACGTCGATATTCGACGTCATAACAGTATCAAGTTTGGTGTTTATGACGTCGATATTCGACGTCATAAACACCATCAAGTTTGGAGTTTATGACGTCGATATTCAACGTCATAAACACCATTAATTTGGTGTTTATGAGGTCGATATACGACGTCATAAACACGATAAAGTTTGCTGTTTATGACGTCGATATTCGACGTCATAAACACCATCAAGTTTGGTGTTTATGGCGTCGATATACGACGTCATAAACACGATCCAGTTTAGTTTTTATGGCGTCAATATACGACGTCATAAACACCATCAAGTTTGGTGTTTATGACGTCGATATACGACGTCATAAACACCATCAAGTTTGGTGTTTATGACATCGATATTCGACGTCATAACCAGCAGCAAGTTTGGTGTTTATGATGTCGATATTCGACGTCATAAACGCCATCAAGTATCGTGTTTATCACGTCGATATTCCACGTCATAAACACGATCAAGTTTTGTTTTTATGCCGTCAATATACGACGTCATAAACACCATCAAGTTTGGTGTTTATGACGTCGATATACGACGTCATAAAAACCATCAAGTTTGGTGTTTATGACGTCGATATTCGACGTCATAAACACCATCAAGTTTGGTGTTTATGACGTCGATATACGACGTCATGAACACCATCAAGTTTGCTGTTTATTACGTCGATATTCGACGTGATAAACACCATCAAGTTTGGTGTTTATGTCGTTGATATACGACGTCACAAACACCATCAAGTTTCGTGTTTATGACGTCGATATTCGACGTCATAACCACCAGCAACTTTGGTGTTTATGATGTCGATATTCGACGTCATAAACACCTGCAAGTTTGGTGTTTATGACGTCGATATTCAACGTCATAAACACCATCAAGTTTGGTGTTTATGACGTCGATATACGACGTCATAACCAGCATCAAGTTTAGTGTTTATGGCGTCGATATTCGACGTCATAAACACAATCAAGTTTGGTGTTTATGACGTCGATATTCGACGTCATAAACACCGTCAAGTTTGGTGTTTATGGCGTCGATATGCGACGTCATAAACACCATCAAGTTTGTTGTTTATGGCGTCGATATACGACGTCATAAACACCATCAAGTTTGGTGTTTATGACGTCGATATACGAAGTCATAAACACCATCAAGTTTGGTGTTTATTACGTCGATATACGACGTCATAAACAAAACCAAGTTTGGTGTTTATGAAGTCGATATTCGACGTCATAAACACCATCAAGTATGGTGTTAATGGCGTCGATATGCGACGTAATAAACACCATCAAGTTTGGTGTTTATTACGTCGATATACGACGTCATAAACACCATCAAGTTTGGTGTTTATGGCGTCGATATTCGACGTCATAAACTGCATCAAGTTAAGTGTTTATGGTAGTCGATATTCAACGTCATAAAAACCGTCAAATTTGTTGTTTATGACGTCGATATACGACGTCATAAACACCATCAAGCTTGGTGCTTATGGCGTCGATATACGACGTCATAAACAGCATCAAGTTTGGTGTTTATCACGTCGATATTCGCGTCATAAACACTATCAAGTTTGGTTTTTATGGCGTCGATATACGACCTCATAAACACCATCAAGTTTGGTGTTTATGACGTCGATATTCGACGTCATAAACACCATCTAGTTTGGTGTATATGACGTCGATATTCGACGTCATAAACAGCATCAAGTTCGGTGTTTATGTCGCCGACATACGACGTCATAAACACCGTCAAGTTTGGTGTTTATGACGTCGATAGTCGACGTCATAAACAGTATCAAGTTTGGTGTTTAGGACGTCGATATTCGACGTCATAAACACCATCAAGTTTGGTGTTGATGACGTCGATATACGACGTCATGAACACCATCAAGTTTGGTGTTTATGGCGTCGATATACGACGTCATAAACACGATCAAGTTTGGTTTTTATGGCGTCGATATACCACCTCATAAACACCATCAAGTTTGGTGTTTATACCGTCGATATATGAAGTCATAAACACCTTCAAGTTTGGTGTTTATGACGTCGATATTCGACTTCACAAAACCATCAAGTTTGGTGTTTATGACGTCGATATACGAAGTCATAAACACCATCAAGTTTGGTATTTATGACGTCGATATACGACGTCATAAACACCATCAAGTTTGGTATTGATGACTTTTATATACGACGTCATAAACACCATCAAGTTTGGTGTTTATGACGTCGATATTCGACGTCATAAACAGTATCAAGTTTGGTGTTTATGACGTCGATTTACGACGTCATGAACACCATCAAGTTTGGTGTTTATGACGTCGATCTACGACGTCATAAACACCATTAAGTTTGGTGTTTATGACGTCGACATACGACGTCATAAACACCGTCAAGTTTGGTGTTTATGACGTCGATAGTCGACGTCATAAACAGTATCAAGTTTGGTGTTTAGGACGTCGATATTCGACGTCATAAACACCATCAAGTTTGGTGTTGATGACGTCCATATACGACGTCATGAACACCATCAAGTTTGGTGTTTATGGCGTCGATATACGACGCCATAAACAGCATCAAGTTTGGTGTTTATGACGTCGATATATGATGTCAATATTCGACGTCATAAACAGTATCAAGTTTGGTGTTAATGACGTGGATATTCGACGTCATAAACACCATCAAGTTTGGAGTTTATCACGTCGATATTCGACGTCATAAACACCATCAATGTTGTGTTTATGACGTCGATATACGACGTCATAAACACCATCAAGTTTGGTGTTTATGACGTCGACATACGACGTCATAAACACTGTCCAGTTTGGTGTTTATGTCGTCGATATTCGACGTCATAAACTGTATCAAGTTTGGTGTTTATGACATCGGTATTCGACGTCATAAGCACCATCAAGCTTGGTGTTTATGGCGTCGATATACGACGTCATAAACACCATCAAGTTTGGTGTTTATACACCATAATGTTTGGTGTTTATGACGTCGATATTCGACGTCATAAACACCTTCAAGGTTGATGTTTATGACGTCGATATTCGAGGTAATAACCACCATCAAGATTGGTGTTTATGACGTCCATATACGACGTCATAAACACCATCAAGTTTGGTGTTTATGACGTCGATATTCCACGTAATAAACACAATCAAATTTGCTGTTTATGACGTCGATATACGACGTCATAACACCATCACGTTTACTGTTTATGACGTCGATATTTGACATCATAAACTCCATCAAGTTTGGTGGTTATGACGTCGATATACGACGTCATAAACACCATCAAGTTTGGTGTTTATGACGTCGATATACGACCTCATAAACACCATCAAGTCTGGTGTTTATGACGTCGATATTCGAAGTCATAAACACCATCAAGGATAGGATAGAAATACATATTACAAAACAAATGGTATACAAAACTCAAATAGCTAATTCGTCAGACTAACAGAGGAAATATTTCTATTGAAAGAATTTAAAGATTCGCTGTTTCTTACTTGTTCAGGAATGCTATTCCAGATTTTAACCCCACTATATCGAAAACATTTTCTGCCATACTCGGTATTTGGTCGTGGCAGAAAGAGAGACGAATTTGAACCTCGTAAATTATAACTGTGGATATGGTTAGAATTCTGGAACATTGATGAGAACCTCGATGGTGCCAAATTATTGACAACCTTAAACATGAGACGGGCCATATTATGTTTTCGCCTTTCTTCCAAGCTTATCCACCCTAATTGATCGAGGGCCAGTTGAGATTGCACAGGCTCATCTTTAAAGTTCATTATAATTCTAGCACATCTGTTGTGAAGTTTTTGTAGTCGTTCAGACTGGCCTCTATTAATGGAATTCCAAACTTCACAACCGTAGTCGAAATGGGGTTGGACAAGACCATAATAGACCGACTTCAAAGTATCAGAATTAGTGAAATCCTTTATCTTTTTCATGGCACTTATTCCAGAAGATATTTTTTTAGAAATTTGGTCAATATGACTGTCCCAAGTAAAAAATTGATCAATTTTGACTCCAAGAGTTTTTGTAACATGAACACCTTTAATTGGTTCATCTCCAATAAAAACACGCCGTTGTTCTTCTAACGTGTTAATATTGTGGCGTGATCCAATCAAAAGATATTCCGTTTTGACAAAGTTAAGAGAGAGCCTGTTCGATAGAAGCCATTCTCTGATATTATTGAGATCGACATTAACAGCCACCTTAGCTTCCTTAATTGATTTACCGGACACTATAATATTAGTATCGTCGGCGAACATGCGTGCTGTATGTATACGACGTCATAAACACCATCAAGTTTGGTGTATATGACGTCGATATTCGACGTCATAAACACCATCAAGTTTGGTGTTTATGACGTCGATATAGGACGTCATAAATACCATCAAGTTTGGTGTTTATGACGTCGATATTCGACGTCATAAACACCATCAAGTTTGGTGTTTATGACGTCGATATACGACGTCATAAACACCATCAAGACTGGTGTTTATGACGTCGATATACGACGACATAAACACCATCAGGTTTGGTGTTTATGACGTCGATATACGACGTCATAAACACCATGGAGAGATCGATTTATGAGCGAACTGGAAAATGATGAGATTATCGCCAGCTTTGTGCCGTGGACACATTTTCTTGGTCCCCTGAAACTCAAGAGGAGATTCTTGCGGAATGGAATGATTGGCAACACGATGAAACGGCTTCGACAGAACCAGGTGTGTGTTGTGATGAATGTGGTCGCGTATTTACGCGTTCGGACAACCTGAACCGACATATGAAATCTCACAGTGACAAAAACCACGAGTGTTCGCGTTGTCGCAAAAAGTTTAATCGAAAGGTATGTAATTTACAGGGATATATTTCAAAACATATTAAAACATTTTGAGCTAATAGTATTTATATGATTTCAAGGATGCTTTGAACCGACACATGAAAACTCACAGTGACAAAGATCACGAGTGTTCGCGTTGCCACAAAACGTTTAATCGGAAGGTACGTAATTTACAGGGATATATTTCAAAACATGGTAAAGTATTTTGAGCTAATAATATCTACTTATATTATTTCAAGGATGCTTTGAACCGGTATGTGAGAATGCACGAACAACGAAGAGCCCAAAGGGAATATACTTGCAATATCTGCGGTGAGGTGTTCCGCAATATATTCCCCTTACAAGCCCATCAACACGATGTCCATCAAGTTGGTCGTGGGAAGCGTACGAAGTTGCCGACCCGGCGAGCAAAAAGGCAAAGAACTGATGAACCAGGTATGTATAAATGAAAATATTTTGATTACTAACTTTTTATTTATACAGATATTTTCTCTCTTTTAAGAACCTACAAGATCTTCGACACGCGTTAACGAAGGTAAGCATTTGCATGCGTGTTTTCCGTTGCTATGATTGTTAAACACCACTAATACATTTTTTTTTTCCTTTTTAGGTGCTTCTACGTCTGCTGTCGTCAACGAAGGTATGAAATTCAAATTTTTATACCGCATATAGTATATTGATTGTGGTGATTTGATGTGTATGTTGACAATGTTAATTACTCGCAACCTCGGTTTTAAAACATTGCCTGGAGAAAGACTTTGAAATCCTAACATTTAAGAAAGAAAGACTTTGAAATCCTAACGTTTACATTTGAAAAATATTTTCATGCTGTTTTCATGTTGTTTCACTGATGTTTGTGTTTTGAAAACCTGATAAAAATAATGAGTAATTTTAAGCATGGGTTTATAGTGTGGAATGCTCCTAATTATTCGTGCTAGACTTCATGGTCATTTGATTTAGAACTATTAATTTATGTCATTGTACGAGTATTTATCATTTAGTAACATTCGCTAGCGTTTAGTCTAGGCTAAAATAATCGAGTATTGTGTAGGTTTATTATGTTGCCCTGTGAAATTTGCATGATCCTAATTATGTTAGACTTATGTTGATTTTTTATGAATCGGGTGTTTGTATGACAAAATTAGTGCGGAGCTCTAGACAAAAATAAAGAATCGGGTGTTATTTCTATAGGACCCCAACCGTTCCCTCAAGATCCCCTATTACCCCCATCTAACCTTCCTTCCCAACTCCACCGAGAGCATTGGCGTGCTATACGTACGCGACAAAGCCGAGGCAATCGAGTGCAAGACTGGTATAATTATCGTTTGAGCTCGTTGAATATGGGTCAACTTGTGAACGATATAGACCGTATATTTGAAGATCAGTCGACCGTCTTTAAATTGAATCTATCCTTTGGCTTTGTTTTGTTTAACAACGAAACGGAGCAGATGCAATATCACCACCCCTCAGCTAACAACAACCGTGTCTTCGACTCCCCATTCCAGATTAATAACCGCGACGATTTGGTTCAAGTGCGTACAGCGTTGGAAAACATCGACATTCATGAATGGGCCAACAAACAACGGCCCAACTCGAAATGGATTGTCATGGATATTACCAACGTTACCTTCTACGTCACCAAACTTCGAGACCATCCCATCGGACGTTCTGTGCGTCTACCCAAATACGTGTTGGAGAATCCTGCCATTGTGTCGCTCGACTGTGATAAAAACACTGGCTTGCCATACGAAGACAAACTATGCTTCTTTCGTTGTTTGGCCCTACACCGTGGATGTCATTCCAAAAATTTAGAACGTGATACTCAGCATTTTTATGAACAATATGACGATAGTGACGATTTTGACGGTGTGACACTCGAAGAGCTCCCAGAGTTGGAAAAGTTATTCGAGTTGAACATTTACGTCTATCGCCTTACAGAGTTACATGACGAAGATGACGCCACGACCTCCTTTGTGGCTCAACTCATACAGCGCTCCCATCGTAGATATGCCAATTCGATGTATCTGAACCTCTACGGTAGTCACTTCAGCTACATTAAGAACTTGGCGATGTATTCCAAGTCTTACTGTTGTTCCAAGTGTGACAAGATGTGGAAAACAGCGAGAGCCTTAAACCGACACGAGCGAACCTGCGAGGCGACAGTTCGTCACATTTTCCTGGCGGAGTCTATAAAGTTCCACAATCTATCTTCGACTTGTTGGCCGATGAAGGTATCGAGATCCCTGAAGACCTCAAGTACTTCCCTTATCGCGCCACCTTTGACTTTGAATGTTATTTCAAACGTGAAACCGAACATCCACGAAATACAGCAAAGTTGACGTGGGAAGCTGAACATATCCCCTTGAGTGTCTCTGTATGTTCGAACGTCCCTGGTTATGATCAACCCAAATGCTTCGTCTCGTCTGGCAGTACAAGTGAAATGATCCAACAGTTCGTGGAATATTTGGTAAAAATTAGTCAAGAAAGTTATGTCTTGTTGTTGGATCTGTTTGCGGATGTGTTTCGTCAAATTGAGGAACGAGTTAATCAGGTATAATTCACACGTATTAGTATATTTCATATCCTTAATATTTTTTTCTTATATCTTTAGGCGAGTGAAAACGAGGAGGTAGATGAGGTAAATGGTGAAATCCTTATTTCTTATACTGTTGAACTTATACCATGTTTCTTCTATTTTAGCCAAATTCAGAGGAGCAGCTGGCAGAATGTCCGATGGGGTTGGATAACGAGGTAAACTATATATTTGGTCTATTAGATGTTTATAATATTCGTACTTATTATGCTGTATATTTTTAGGAGAGGGAAGTGAGTGATGGCGAAGTGGTTGGGGACGAAGTGAATGAGGACGAAGCAGAAAAAACCCACCCACTGGAAAAGTTGGTCGAGAAGTTGGAACTTTACTTGATGGAACTTCCTGTGATCGGCTTCATCTCGGGCAAGTACGATATAAATGCTGCTAAGAACCCATTCTTCTCTTACCTAGTGAAACACGAGCAAGTTAAGTTTGTGATAAAGAGAAACAACAATCATATGTGTCTTAAGACGCAACACTTAAAGTTTCTCGATATCACAAACTACTTGGCCCCCGGTTTCAGTTACGAACAGTTCCTCAAAGCGTACGAGTGCTCCCAGACAAAAGGCTACTTCCCTTACGAGTGGGTTGATTCCCTTGGAAAGTTGAACAACCCAACCCTACCACCACGCGAAACCTTCCATTCCAATCTGTCCGGAACCGATATCACCGAGGAACAGTATGAGTATTGCGAGCGTGTATGGAACGAACAGAATATGAAAACTTTCCGTGACTTTCTCGTGTGGTACAATAACTTAGATGTCGTACCTTTCCTCGAGGCTGTCCAGAAAATGAGCAATTTCTGGCAAGAAAGAAACATTGACATGTTTAAGGATGGAGTAAGTGTGCCTGGCTTAACTATGAAATACTTGTTTTCAAACATTCCAGACACCTACTTCTCCTTGTTCAGCGACAAGGACAAAGATATGTACTATACCATGAAAGACAATAACGTAGGGGGCCCAAGTATTATCTTTAACAGGTACCATGAGGAAGGGAAAACATCAATACGGAAGGAAGAAATGCGAGCCAAAGGAAAAGAATCGAAACCCTGTAAGAATGTGGTTGGATACGATGCCAATGCACTGTACCTCTGGGCCATCATGCAGAATATGCCGACGGGGCAGTACACAAGACGGTTAGAGGAAGATGGGTTTAAGAAACGGTGGAGTGGAAAAATGGCAATAGAGTGTTTGGAGTGGAAAGCGAACCAGCGGAGAATACAGATCAGACACGAGTACAACAACACGGAGAAAAGAATTGGCACTCGTCGTCTCCCTGTTGACGGTTTTCACGCTGAATCACAAACGGTTTTTCAGTTTCATGGTAAGTTGAAATTAGTTAAGATTAATTAGCTAGGATTAAGTTAATTGTGTGGGAGTAAGTTGATGAGTTTTTAGCGATTGCGTGGGTCTGCAGGATAATTTATTTTTTCTTTTGTAGGATCTTTAATAGTATACTTTATTCTACTAGGATGTTATTGGCATGGCCACAACTGCCAACTTAACGAAGGTAAAGAAGTCAACGAGAAGCGTGATAAGCCCATGAAAGAACTCCTTGAAGAGACAAAAAGAAACAGTGCCTATATCACGAAGCAGGGATTCAATCTCGTTGAATGTTGGGAATGTGAGTGGCGAGATATGAAGAAACGAAACAGCGCGCTGCAACGATTCATCGCCACCCATCTGCGTCGACCACTGGATAAATTGAAAACCATGACCAAACAGTCCATTATCAACGCAGTGAAGAATGATAAACTATTTGGATGTGTGGAGTGTGATATACACGTACCTGAGAGTTTGCGAGAATACTTCAAAGAGATGTGCCCCATCTTCAAGAATACCGAAATACGTCGAGAAGACATCGGTGAGTTCATGAAGAGCTATGCCGAAGAAAACAACATCATGCCCCGACCTCGGCGGAGTCTCATTGGAAGTATGATCGGAAAGAAGATAATGTTGGCAACTCCTCTTCTAAAATGGTACTTAGAACATGGTTTAGAGGTACGTTTTAAATATTAAAAACTTGTAAAATTGCAGGAGAAATTTTTTTTAACAAATTGTATTATCGTTTTAGGTAACACACGTCTACCAGATAGTCGAGTATACCCCTAAGCCATGCTTCAAACCTTTCGGTGACGCTGTATCGGATGCTCGTCGTGCTGGTGATGCAGACCCCTCCAAAGCCATCATCGCGGACACGATGAAATTGGTCGGGAATAGGTGAGTTTTAAAATCACGCTGTTGTGACGTATTCAAGAAATACTCATTTTTGTATTTCTATACAGCTCATACGGGAAGACCATCACCAACAAAGAGCGTCATCGCAAGGTGGATTACTGCAACGATGATGAGGTTTCTGAATTAATCAACTCACCATTCTACCGCCAAATGAACGTGATCGACGATGACACCTACGAAGTGGAAAGTGCTAAGAAGAAAATTA